TGCCTTAAGCAAAATTTCAGGAAAGGTTACCTCATATCCCAAATTTAACCGTAACTCCTGTAATTTAATGTAAAATCACTTGGACTACCGGCGTCCATAGTCCCATGTCCGAACGGCCTCAGGTCGTTACTTTTCCTTCATCAGTGGACTTAGAATAAAATATAGCTGTGCATGTTAAATTTCCAATAGCGTCTCAACCGACCACTATTTATCCGTTTCAGTTACGCCCTCGTTTGCTGGCAAATGGGGTGTTCCTGTTTTCTGTTCCATCAGTTTTCCATCATCGCCACACCTTACTGTTGAAGCACTTATCCTCCCCCCCCCATACCTCACTGGTTAGATGGCTGTTAGGTTCCCTTGACTTATTTTGTTTTTGAGAAGTGCATAACATGCTTTGAGTGGCAGAAAGTGGACCACATCGGATCCTCTGATTAAATTAAAAACGCCCTTCTGTGCTATACACCAGTCAGCCAACCGACTTCCACTTTCTGGTCTTCCGCCTCTCCGACGACACTTAACACATAGAATTTAACTTGCCAGCAGCGTTTTAGAGTGATATCTTTGGCGTACCTTTTTGATTTTTCTTCTTGACTTCTATTGTAATACCAGTGACTTTCGGTGCATATGAGAGGCTAGTGCAATACAATGTCAGCTCTTTGTGCTTTCCATTATGATTGACTTGATGACTCATTGACTCGCCAGTCATCGAGTAGCTTCCTGGGGGTTCCGGTTGTACCTTCAATGGCATACCTGTCAATTTAAATTGTGCGTCTGTGTTTGTATGTATTAAGACACAGGATGGGGGTGGGGGACCTGCTGCCTGCTTATTTTCTCTGAGGCTCTCCACACAAAGCCAATATGCGTACCGCCGAAGATAACAGAATACACTCTCTCGCTCTATTCTATTGAAATCTTTGATTCGTGACGGGAATTAACGTCCTTTTCCCATAGTGCGTGCATGAATGTGCTATTATAGTTTCTACAAGAACTACAGCCATGTTACGTGTTGACTCGTCCTCTCTGCCTTAGTTTCCGTGTGTTGCTGCTGTGCACAAAGCATGAAACAGACCTCATACCTGTTAATAGATAAGAGCGCAAAGAAGCCAAATGATTTATATGGAAATCTAGTATGAATCCTTTGTTTCCTTGAACTTATGCCGACATCGAAAACCAAGGGGAAGTTCATGCCGTTTTTGATCTGCTTTTTTTTACTGCGCACAAAAACTGTAAGGGGCAGCGCATGCTCGTGCGACTCTGCTAACGCGGCAATGAATGCGAACCCCAACGAACGGTGGATAGGATTAGGTTGGCATACATTTTGACGTGTAATACGGTTTACTTCGGTCCTAAAGACAACTTATTTGAACGATGATATTGGACGTATACATTTCGCATTGCCAACGCATTACCGCCATTTTGCGTCCCTTGAACTGCCCTACCCCATTGCCACCGTCGCCTTATTATACGCCTACCCGTTAGTTGTGCTCGTTCGTAGAGTTGCCGAATAGAGAAATAAAAATCGCCTATCCACTGCAGCTTGTTACATGCATGTCGCTTCAATCTGACAAGGTTCCTGCGTTCGCAACTGTCTGCCCCAACCAACATTCTTCACAACCGCACAGAGTCTGACTTTCTAGCACCGTTTCATGTGAAAAAACGGGGTCACACTTCGGAGTCTGTAATAGCCACAATCGGGTCATTTAGTGTAAGCGGGTTTAACACTTAATCTGTCATTCAATTCAATGCTTGCGAATGAGTCATCAGCATTGTGCTCAATACTATCAGTCGTCACCCTCTGGCAGTCACGTACGCGCACACGCAGTCTGCGTGTGTTTGACCTCTGCGTCTTCTGACGTTTAACTTGGCTCAGCGGCTTCATCTAATTAGTTGCCAATGCAGGATTTTTGCTGACTTCTTTTGATTCATTTGCCTAGTTTGAATTAAAATAACGGGCAATTGAGTTAAACCTGGCAAGGGTGGGGATGGTAAGTATGTCGGGCGGAAGGAGACTCACCGGACTACCAGGAATTAGCCTTGATGCCTTCAGCGCACCGACGGCTTGTGTGTGGATTATTTTAACCAAACTACCGGGCGTAAGCATT